TACAAAGAAAGGCGTAGGGGCCACCTCATGTCCACTAGGCGACATACTGTCTTTTCTGCAGCAGCTGATGGACAGAAATTTGGCCTTCAGCACAATTAAAACATACGCTGCAGCCATCTCTGCCTGTCACAAAGGTTTCAGGGACAGAACAGCTTTTAATCATCTGCTGATTAAGCGTTTTTTAAAAGGTGTACAGAGACGCAGGCCTGTTTCACGCCCACTTGTTCCACAGTGGGATTTAACGCTGGTCCTGCGAGCCCTGATCAAAGCTCCATTTGAGCCTCTGGATCAGGTTCCAATTAAATTCTTGTCCCTTAAAACAGCCCTGCTGCTAGCTTTAACATCCGCTAAGAGGGTGAGTGATTTATCTGCCCTCTCTGTCGCTCCGTCATGTCTCAGAATTCAGGCTGACGGCAGCTCAGCTGATCTAAGACCGAATCCAGCTTTTATGCCTAAAAACATCATGAGCTCTTTTAAATCAAGAGCAATATCGTTGGAGGGGTTTTTCCCTCCCCCCCACAATTCAGAAGAAGAAGCATCTTTCCATCTGCTCTGTCATGTGCGGGCGTTGACGTGTTACATAGCGCGCACAGCTGTAATGCGTCAAACTCAACATTTGTCTGTGCATTATAGAGATGCATCTGCAGGCCGCCCATTACCCACCCAGCGCTTGTCACACTGGCTGTGTGAGGCCATTTCTGAAGCATACAAAGCACCAGATTTAGAGCCTCCTGATAACCTCAGGGCGCACTCGACCAGAGGTATCACATCTTCGAATGCTTTGCATAATGGTATGACAATGCAGGATATTTGCACTGTGGCCGCGTGGTCAACACCCTGCTCATTTATTCATTTCTATTTACGTGATGTGACGGTTCGTTCCATGACACATTCTGTACTTAGTTTTTTAACAGAATTGTTGTTTCATGGAACCCCGTTTAAACTCACATCTGACTGCATGCATTACAATGTGAGATGTTGTTATCAGTCACAAGTTGTGACAGTTATTTTGGTTCTATTGTCGCTAATCAGTTCATGACTATTGTTACCAATCAGGTCATTTGATTAATAATCAGTTCACTTGTTATTATTAATCTGTTCATACTGTTCAGCCGTGAATCGGTTGGTTCATGGCCCTTTTTTCAGCATCTTCCCTCCCCGTTGAAACTTTCCGGGGCGTTCATGCGTTCAGAACGCATAGTTATACAGCATGCGTCTGTGCATGGTACACATAATTATGCAACGCTTAATTACGTACAAGGGGAGCTGAGTGACAAGACGTTTTTTGGGCAAGCTTCCGCTTCATACGGTGTTCGAATGGACCCAATGAGGCGAGGACCACATCCGCTTCGCCCTTAACCCACCAGTGACAGCCTTAAAGGGCGAAGCCTATACAAAATAGAATCTGGGGTTACAGTACGTAAATAACGTTTTTCCACTTTGTTGCCGTCTTTCTTTGAAGAAGGTACTAGACATTTCTCCTAGAACTTTTCCACAATCAGTCATTTCCAAAGTCCTATAGATGAAGGACAAACTGTCTCAGCTAAAAAAATAAACCATCCAGATGATCTGACTGAACAGTTGGATTTTAACCTAGATTATTGAAAATGAACTTTAATGTTTTCCACAATCAGTTTTTGTTCCTCTGTCCTGTCACATCCAACTTTCCTGTTACCCATTCCCATTAGTCTCATCTGCACTTCCCTCATTAGCCTCAGTCTTTTTATTCTGTTTCTCATTGCTCATCAATTGAGCATTGATAGTTTTCATGCCATGCCCTTGTGTTTCCTTTGATTGTTCTTTAACTTATTAATAAGTCATTATTTTGCCCTACCTCGACAGCTTTTAGTGTTTGGTAAAAAAAATAAAATATTTGTTTCGTTTTTAGGGCTCCTTATGTTTAGTTTGTATTCATGAGTCCAAACCTGAAGCTAACTGTGAGTGGAAAAGAAAAACAAATGTTGTTTTTTTTTCTGGATAATTCATTAAAACCTCAAATTTAACAACAACAGTGAAGCATGGTTGCTGCTTTTCAAATGAAGGAAGTGCTGAGGAAGCAATAGTATGTATGGCGATAAAAAACTATACAGGCCAAAAGCAAAAAGCACTGAAAAGGCAAAAATGGGCCAAAAAATGCCATTTTGATAGTCACTTTTTTTATTGGTAATTGGAAAATTTGCCAGGATGACTGCATCACACAGCCGAGCCACAACTTCACAGGCTCCCGGTGCACTCAATTTTTTTTTTTGTTCCTGTTGTTTTTGTTTTAACTTTTTTCTTGCACCTACATTGCACGTCCACGGATATGACCGCAACACATTTATGGAGTTTTCTGTGTCGGTGCCATGGTGCCATTCTGCCATGGTGCCATCCTGCCATGGTGCCATCCTGCCATGGTGCCATCCTGCCATCGTGGTTCAGTCCTTCCAGCCTCAGGCCTGTCATGGCAGCTGTCTCCATGATCCTCCATCTGTCTGCACGGACCGAACTCGAAGGACCCGTTCGGTTTCGCTGGGAAACCTTGGATGTTCTCTGTTTGCCAAACCCAGTTCTGGAGGGCAGTCTGGGACAGCAGCTGCTGCAGTCATTATTACCACTGAACTGCTGAGGGGACCTGCTAACACTGCTAACAAGACCACACCGCTAACACAGTACAATGCTGCTAACTGGACCAAGTTGCTAAGAAAACCTCACTGTCATCAGAACCACTCTGTCAATAGGACCAAGCTGCTGTAGATTTATTTATTTTTCACTTTGGTACGTTGTTTCTGTATTTTTGTTGCATGCTTTGAATAAATCTCAGTTCGTTAGTTTAGGGGCTCCTAGCCTGACTCCACTCACATTAAACATGTAAATTATAGCTGAACAGAACCTTTGAGAATCGTCTGCTGTTGTTCGGTGTATTGTTTTACACTATTAGTGACTGGCATATATCTTAGATCTTTTGGCATAACGTTGGGCGTTTATTTAGCGTATATCTTAGTTTATATCTTAGATCCTTATTTACTGTTTCTTTTTAGTCAATTACATGCCAGGGAGACAGAAAAGTGGGTCAAGAATTTATCTGACAGACAGCTCACCCAGCCAGAGACAGAGATTCTCGCCAGGGGACTGAACTTTGCGGTTGCACCAAGTAGAATTCCTCTGGTGGAGATGATCACAGCTACTGAGTCAGCCATCCGCAACAACAAAATTAAAGAGGCTGAAGCAGAACAGCTCAGAATCAAAGTTTCAGCCTGCCTCAGCAATGCCAAACCACCACCTTCCAACATCAGTAGAGAGGAGAGGGATGCACTCACCACTCTTAGCAAGGACAAAAACATCATCATTCTCCCAGCAGACAAAGGAAGGTGCACAGTGATTTTGAACCAGAAAGACTATCATGAGAAAGTTATGACACTCCTTAGTGACTTAA